CAGCCTCCCAAAGCGCAGGATTACAGGCTGAGCCACTGAGCCCAGCTGACCCCATCTCTTAAAAAAAAAAAAAAAATCAGCATAGATTCTAAAGGCATCCTGCCTGGTTTCAAATCACTTTCTTTCTTTCTTTTTTTTTTAGTCAGAGTCTCACTTTGTTGTCCAGGCTGGAGTGCAGTGGCATGCTTGCGGCCACCACAGCCTCGACTTGCTAGGCTAAAGTGATCCTTCTGCCTCAGTCTTCCAAGTAGCTGGAACCACAGGCATGTGCTACCACGCCTGGCTAATTTTTTTTTTTGAGTTGGAGTTTCACCCTGTTGCCGATTGGAATGCAGTGGCATGCTCCCGGCCACCGCAGCCTCGACCTGTTGGGTTCTGGTGATCCTTCCGCCTCAACCTTCCAAGTAACTGGAACTACAGGCTCGTCTACCATGCCTGGTTAATTTTTCGATTTATTGCAGAGACGAGGTCTCGCCAAGTTACCCAGGAGGGTCTTGAACTCACAGGCTCAGGTAATCTACTCGCTTCCCCAAATGCTGGGATTATAGGCTGAGTCACCGAACCCAGCTTAATTTTTTGATTTATTATAAAGATGAGGTCTCGCTATGTTGCCCAGGCTGGTCTCCACCCCTGAGCTCAGGTAATCCTCTTACCTCCGCCTCCCAAAGTACTGGGATTACAGGCATGAGCCACCACACCTGGCTCTGACTGTCACTTTCTTTTTTTTTTTTTGAGTTGGAGTCTCACTCTGTCGCCCAGACTGGAGTGCAGCGGCTGCTCCCGGCCACTGCAGCCTCGACCCACTGGGCTGTAGCGATCCTTCCGCCTCAGCCTTCCGGAATAACAGGCGTGCGCTACCACGCCCAGCTGATTTTTTTGATTTATTGTAGAGATGAGGTCTCGCCAAGCTGCCCAGGTGGGTCTCGAACCCGCGGGCTCAGGCAATCCACTCACCTCAGCCTCCCAAGGCGCGGGATTACAGGCTGAGCCACCGAGCTCGGCTGGCTGTCACTTTCTAGTTGCATTATAATCTTGGACAAGTTTTTAATCTCTCCATGCCTCAGTTTCCTCATTTGTAATGGCCTCTTAGAGTTGTGAGGATTAATGATATAACACAAGTTGAGCCCTCAGAACAGTACCTAGTATACCAAGGGCACAACAAACATTGGCTATTACTATTACACTGCCTTCCTATATCATTTCCTATCTGACTTGTCTCCTTCATTTTGTTTCTCTAACTAGGTCGATCAACAGGAAATTGGTGTATACAGACATGTCCTCCCAATGGAAAAAAATGAAAATTATTTGAAGGTTGGCGATGGCACCATGGACCATAACATGAAGTCGAGGTCTCTGCTTTACATACTGGAGCCAGAGGGACATTCTTGGGAATGGGTTCCTAAGAAGCACAGTCATCTTCTTTGGAATTTTAAAAAACAAAGACACCTCATTTGTTTGGAGGAGTTTAAGCAAAGTTAAATGAATTGCTCATGAAAGTGCCATATCATATAGTTATTCCTGAAGTTTAACTTAACATTTTCAAAGAAAGGGTGAGATCTTTTGCCAACATTTATTTATAATACAAATGCAAAACATAAAATTTTCAATTAGTATGTTCATACCTCACCGGTTCCATAAGGCCATATAATCTGATTCATTTTCAAAGAGTTTGAGAACTGATCTTGTAAATTCTGTGTAACGAAGGCTCCTATCCCTGATCCCGTGCCCCCAGCCATACTCATTATGATGAAAAAACCACTCAAAGAGTCACATTTCTCCACTTCCTTCTGAATTAGGTTCATTATAGATTCTTCATGCTTGGGTCCATGAACAGAGTAACTATGTAATGGCAAAAGAAACAAATACAAACACCTTTCAATTTAACAAAAGACATGCAATGCAGAGAACAGGCACAGAATAGAAAGGTCTTTTCAAAACTATGCACGTGATCAGGCACGGTGTCTCATGCCTATAATCACAGCACTTTGGGAGTCCGAGATAGGAGGACTGCTTGAGCCCAGGATTTCAAGACCAGCCCAGGCAACATTGTGAGACCTCAACTATACGAAAAAAAAAAAAAATTACTGGGCATGGTGGCTCACACCTGCATTTCCAGCACATTGGAAGGTGGGGTGGGCGAGAGGATTGTCTGAGCCCAGGGGAACTTGGCGAGACCTGGGCAACTTGGCGAGACCTCGTCTCTACAATAAATCAAAAAATTAGCTGAGCCGGGCTCAGTGACTCAGCCTGTATTCCCGCACCTTTGGGAGGCTGAGGTGGATTGCCTGAGCCCGCGGGTTTGAGACCCGCCTGTGCAACTTTGCAAGACCTCATCTCTACAATAAAATCAAAATGAGCAGGGTGTGGTAGCGTGCACCTGTAGTTCCAGCTACTTGGAAGGCTGAGGTGGAAGGATCACCTGAGCCCAGAAGTTCGAGGCTATGGTGGCTGTGAGCATGCCCTGCACTCCAGCCTGGGTAACAGATTGAGACTCCTACTTTTAAAAAAAGTATATTATAAAATAAAATAAAAAATTAGCTGGACACAGTGGTACATACCTGTAGTCCCAACTACTTGGGAGGCTGCAGCAGAAGGAGTGGCTGAGCCTAGGAGGTGAGTTGTGATGGTGTCATTGTACTCCAGCTGAACATAGAGCAAGACCCTGACTAAAAACAAAACAAAAACCAAAAACAAAAACAAAAAAACCACTAAAACTATGCAAGTTAACTAATTCTCATAAAAGGCACAGGTGCCATGACTACAACATTTTATTTTATTTTATTTCATTTTACTTTTTATGAGTTGGAGTCTCACTTCATCACCCAGGCTGGAGCGCAGCGGCATGCTCTCAGCCACCCCAGTGTCAACCTACTGGGCTCAGGCAATCCTTCCGCCTCAGCCTTACAAGTAGCCGGAACTACAGGCATGCACTACCACGCCCAGCCAATTTTTTGACTTATTGTAGAGATGAGGTCTCACCAAGTTGCCCAGGCTTTTCTTGAACCCGTGGACTCATGCAATCCCTTTACCTCGACCTTCCAAAGTGCTGGGATTATAGGCTTGAGCCACCACGCTCAGCCGATTGACAACACTTTAAATACACAAGTTAAGTATACATAATAGGTGAGTAGGATGGCAAGGAGAGTGAATTTATAGGACACAGAAAATTCACTTTTATTTATTTATTTTTTCTGAAGAGCTCACTTAAACACTTTTTTAAAGGTTTTGATTATATACTTTTTTTGCATTTTGTTATTGATTTATCATGGTTGTATATATTTTTTGGGATACATGTGCCATTTTGATACATGTACACAACATGTAATGATCAAATCAAGATAACTGGGCTATCCATCACCTAATTTTTCTTTATGTTGGAAACATTACATTCTTCCCTTCTAGCTATTTTGAAATATATGAGAAATAATTAACTGTCATTTCTCTATTGTACTATCAAATACTAGAACTTATGTCTTCTATCTCACTGTATGTTTGCACCCATTAACCAACTTCTCTTAATATCCCCCCAAAAGTTCTTTTTTTTTTGTCATAGTCTTATTCTGTCACCCAGTCTGGAGTACAGAGGCACACTCACAGCCACTACAGCCTTGACCTGCTGGGCTCAGGAAATCCTGGCTCAGCCTTCCTAATAGCTGGAACTACAGACGTGAGCTACCATGCCCAGCTAATTTTTGATTTATTGTAGAGATGAGGTCTCACCAAGCTGTCCAGGCTGGTGTTGAACCCCTGGCTCAAGCAATCCTCTTGCCTTGGCCTCCCAAAGTGCAGGGATTACAGGCATGAATCACCACACCCAGCCAACCCTTGGGTATTCTAATGTGCAGCAAAGATTGAGAACTACTGCTCTACAGTATTCCTACAGTATAGTTGGGATACCTACCAGATACAGGTATTGTATTGGTAATAAGTTATTTTGCATAATGACAGTGAATAAGATGGAAAACCCTGCTGAAAGGGATCCCTGGTTTCATTACTTCTATCTGAAGGAGAGAGATGGAATGAGAGTTTCTTCTGGGTGAAGTAAAATTCTAAGTCTTGGCCAGGCATGGTGGCTCATATTGGCAATCCCAGCCCTTTGGGAGACCAGTAAGGGGATTGTTTGAGGCTAGGAGTTCAAGACCAGCCTGGGCAACTTAGCGAGATCTCTACAAAAAAAAAAAAATATTAGCTGGGTATGGTAGTGAGTGACTGCAATCCCAACCACTTGGGCGGCTGAGGCAGAAGACTCGCCTGAGCCCAGGAGGTCGAAGCTGTGGTGAGCCAGGATCATGTCACTGCATTCCAGCCTGAGCAGCAGAGTGAGATCCAATTCAAAAAAAATTTAAGTCTTCTTTTTTTGAGACAGGGTTTTTTAGTCTGTTGCCCAGGCTGGAGTCCAATGGCATGATCATGGTTCACCACAGTCTCAAACTTCTGGCCTCAAGCTATCCTCCTGCCTCAGCCTCCCAAAGTGCTAGGATTATAGGCAGGATCCACGATGCTCAGTTAAAAAACTCTAAATCTTTTTTTTTTAACTCTTGTCACCCGGGCTGGAGTACAGCAGCATGGTCACGGCCACCGCAGCCTCATCCTGCTGGGCTCAGGCAATCCTTCCGCCTCAGCCTTCCAAGTAGCTGGAACTACAGACACACACCACCATGCCCGGCTAGTTTTTGTAACTTATTGTAGAGACGAGGTCTCACCAAGTTGCCCAGGCTGGTCTTGAACCCGCAGGTTCAGGCAATCCTCTCGCCTTGGTCTCCCAAAGTACTGGGATTACAGGCTAAGCCATCATGCCTGGCCAATTCTAAATCTTAATACAACAATTTCAAGATGATATGCTTGGTATATAAACTGTGCAGCTGTAACTTCATTATCTATTAATCGACTATGTAGCTGTAACTAAACTGAAAATAAGCACTTATTCTTACCCATATGCCCAGTTGTTTCCAGAACCTTGTTTTTGACAGAAACATGCATGCTGACCATATTTCCATCGGCCAGACTGGGCAGCCTTTGACAATGTTTGATTGATAACTTTAGGTTCCATGTCAATAAGAACAGCTCGGGCAACAGGAACTAGAGAGGAAAAAAAAATCAAAACAAAAAAAATGTTTCATGTGTCTTATTTGGATAACTCAGAACATAATGTCTCAGTCCAGAAAAAAAAAAATCTAGGAATTGGGAATAGAAAGATCCATCATACTGCTTAGAAATCCAGGTGGGCAGCAGCAGATATATGCAGATGTGCATAAAGTCCAGCATTCTACATAAGCAGGATGAATCAGCGTGGCCTAAAATGATCACTTGGGTCAGGTCTACAAACATCCACTGAGTGCTTACAATGTGCCATGCACTGTGCTGGAAAGACAGACAAGAAGACATCATCAAACCAATCCTAGAAGGGCTAGTGGGAGAGACAAAATACACCAACACTTAATCAGAGTATGACGTGTAATGACCCCCAACAAATCCACACACCAAAGAAGCAGCATATTCAGAGATACAAACTACCATGACACAACATGCAGTTCAGAATTGTCAGAGGAGAGGAGGGAGGAGAGGGTAGAAGAAGGGATGAACAGGAGTGAAAAGCAAGCAGGGCTCAGATCCCGGAAATCCTTTCAGGCAATGCTAAAAAGGTAGACCTTTATGGAGTCTCATTCTGTCACCCAGGCTGGAGGGCAGTGGCATGCTTCCAGCCACTGCAGCCTCGACCTGCTGGGCTTAGGCGATCCTTCTGCCTCAGCCTTCCAAGTAGCTGGAACTACAGGCAGATGACTTTTTAAATATAGCAGCACGAAGGATGGAAGTGATAGACACAAGAGTTTAGGCAGGGAAACATGGAGTGCTTTAAGACAGTCCAAGTGAGAAAGGACAAGAGCCAGAACTAAAGCAATGGCAATGAAGGTAGCAAGGGGAGAACAGGCTGGCTGTGGCGGCTTGTGCCTATACCACCAGCTACTTGGGAGGCTGAGGTGGGAGGATTACTTGAGGTCAGGAGTTCAAGGCTGCAGTAAGCTATGATTGCGCTGCTACATTCCAGCCTGGGCAGCAGAGCAAATCTGCGTCTCTTAAAAAAAAAATGGGGAGAAGTTTCAAGAGATATATAGGAGGTCAAATAAGCAGATCTTGATGTTGATGGTATGTGTACAGTTAGAATGCAAGTTTTAAAGGAAATATAATGGAAACCTTGAGTATGAAGATGTTGAGTTTGAGGGTCACATCGGAGATGCAGTGGACGTGTCTAATCTGTCTGCAGCTTGGAAGACAGGCAGGATTAGAGGTTTGTGAGTCACCGATGTAAAAAAATGTAGCAAATTATGAGAGTGACAGAAACTTCCCAGAGAGGATATACAAGTGAGGAAAGGGGAGAGGAAAAATGCAGAGACTAAAAAGAAGGAGTTTCTTTTTTTTTTTTTTTTTGAGTTGGAGTCTCATTGTTACCCAGACTGGAGTGCAGTGACCGCTCGACCTGCTGGACTCTGGCGATCCTTCCACCTCAGCCTTCCAAGTAGCTGGAACTATAGGCGCGCGCTACCATGCCTGGCTCATTTTGATTTATTGTGGAGATGAGGTCTCGCCAAGTTGCCCAGGCAGGTCTCGAACCCGCGGGCTCAGGCAATCCACTCACCTCAGCCTTCCAAAGGCGCGGGATTACAGGTTGAGCCACCGAGCCTGGCTTGAAGGAGTTTCAAGAAGGGAGTTTTGGCCAGGCACAGTGGCTCATGCCTATAATCCCAGCACTTTGGAAGGTCAAGGCCAGAGGACTGCTTGAGCCCAGGAGTTCAAGACCAGCCTAGGCAACATAGCAAGACCTTGTCTCTACAAAAAATAAAAATAAGTCAATTAGCTAGGCATCGTGGCATGCATCTGTAGTCCTAGCTACTCAGGAGACTGAGACAGAAGGATTGCCTGAGCCCAGGAGGTTGAGGCTGTGGTGAGCCGTGATCATGCCACTGCACTCCAGCCTGGGTGGCAGAGTGAGACCCTGACTCAAAAAAAAAAAAAAACCACTAGAAAAACAAAAAAAACACAGGCAGGCAGTGGCTCATGTCTGTAATCCCAGCACCTTGTGGGGTGGAGGCAAGAGAATTGTCTGAGCCCAGTGATTCGAAACCTGCTTGGGCAACCTGGTGAGGGATCTCGTCTTTACAATTTTTTTTTTTGAGCTGGAGTCTCACTCTGTCACCCAGGCTGGAATGCAGTGGCATGCTCACAGCCACTGCAGCCTCGACCTTTAGGGCTCAGGTGATCCTTCTGCCTCAGTCTTCCAATCCATAGCTGAAAGCACAGGCATGTGCCATCACGCCTGGCTAATTTTTTTATTTATTTTAGAGACAAGGTCTCACCATGTTGCTCAGGTTAGTCTTGAACCCCTGAGTTCAGGCAATTCTCTCACCTACACCTCCCTAAGTGCTGGGACTACAGGTGTGAACCACTGCACTCAGCTCATCTCTACAGTTAAAAACAAAAATTAGCCAGGTGTGGTGGCACATGCCTATAGTTCCTCCAGCTGCTTGAAAGGCTGAACTGAAGTGGAAGGATTGCCTAAGCCTAGGTTGAGGTTGCAGTGGCTGTGAGCATGTTGCTGTACTGCACTCCAGCCTGGGTGACAGAGTGAGATGTTGACTCAAAAAAAATCCAAGAAAAAACTCAACAGGTGGATCTCGTAATTAGAAGGTCACTGGAACCTTTTCTTAGAGTAGTTTCAGTGGTGCTATGTGGGAGAAGCTGGTTAAGCAGGGTTCTCCTTTGAGAATTTTGGATGAGAAGGCAAAGAGATAAGAAAGAAGAAGAAAGCTACAGTCGAGAGTTTGTTAGATTGGTGAGATCGAGCATGCTCATATGCTGATGGGAGAGGCAAAGATTGTTAACACAGAAACAAAGGGCCAAGAGCAAAGCCATTCCCTAGTGAGATAGGACAGGAGGGGGTTCAGACACCATGCAGAGCGCCTGGCCTTGAAGAGGTTGGTTATGTCAGAGTAAAGGAGAGGACTGTTGGCCACACATACCTCCATTTTCCTCCTCACTGAAGAATCTTTCTTTGCATGATGCTTGATATGCCTCATTCTCTCTTTTAGAGCAGAGTCCCTGGGAATTGTGTGAGTCATGAAGTAAAGCATCAAACACTTCAAAACCAATTTGATTGCCACACTGACCAAGTTGCACTGTTACTATTGACATGCTGAGCAACAAACTAGGGCTATTTCCTCAAAAAAGTGAACAACCTGCAATAGAAAGAATACAGGCTTTGAGAACCACTACGTTACTAATAAAAACAAGTAAAATGTCAAATGTGTTAATTATGTATCCATAAAAAATGTTTTAAATGCCATATATGTATAGATGAAATAGCTATGTTGCTAAGGAGCCAGTCATTCAACTAAGTTTTTCTCTTACACTATATGGTTTGGGGATTTGTGATTTACTGTCCCCAAACCCCTCATACACAGCTCAATTGTTTCAAAAATCTGACTCGTACTCACTATTTTCCTAAATCTGCATTTTAAACAAAACACCCTTGCCGGGCCCAGTGGCTCACTCCTGTAATCCCAGCACTTTGGGAGGCAGAGGTGAGAGGATTGCCAGAGCCCAGGGATTCGAGACCAGCCTGGGCAACTTGGCAAGACCTCATCTCTACATTAAGTAATAATAAAAGAAATTAGCCGGGCATGGTGGTGCATGCCTGTAGTCCCAGCTACTTCGAAGGCTGAGGCGGAAGGACTGCCTGAGCCCAGCAGGTTGAGGCTGTGGTGGCCGTGAGCGTGCCATTGCGCTCCAGCCTGGGCGACAGAGTGAGACTCCAACTCAAACAACAACAAACAAACAAAAACCTAAAACATTCTCAGGTGAGAAGTATAAAAGAAAAAAATGAATGCTGGTAGAAGGAATTGGTAGTACATGTCACACCATGTGAGCATACAGAGCACAAAAGTGAGCTAGCTCAACAATCACACATTCAATTAACATTTATTTTCTCTCTTCTAAATAATGACTTTCTCTCTACCAACCACCTTTCTGGCTAGGTAACTGTGGTAAGACTTACAAGAAGGACTACATGTTTAGCTCAGGTGGGTCAGCAAGAAAGATGGACTGGGAGAGAAAACCAGATGAAACATTAGAGCAAGCCTTCATTATTTTTAAAAACGAAAAGAAACAATCTTTAAAACAACAACAACAAAAACCCTCACATCTGTGCAGCGCGGGAAATGAGGAGTGGGTTGAGAGGCTGTACTTTTATCAAATCTGCAAAGTAGACATTATTATCTTCATTTTACAGAGAAGGAAACTGAGGCTCTGAAAGGTTATGTGATTTCCCCAAGGCCACTGACTTAGTAAATAGCAAGGCCAGCACGCTTCCTTTTCCCACTGGTCCCAAGAGCTCCCCATTAGCCCCAGGAGCTCCCCATCAACTCCACTCACCGACAGTACCCGCAGCTTCGCCCGGTTCAAACTTCAGAGGACCAACCCTCTCTCTAGGCGCATGCTCATTTTCGACACGAAAAAAGCTACAGAGAACGAATGCGCATGTTCTACAAACGAAGAGTTTTGTTGTGTGTGTGTGTGTGTGTGTGTTTCCTATTCAGAAAGCTTAATTACGCATGTTCAATTTCCAGTTATCAACTTGAGTTATGATACGCATGCTCACTGCCCACCCAACGCTTTAGCGGGCAACGCGCATGCTCCGGGCTCCCAGCGCGGCTTCCGCGGGGCTCTTGCGCACGTTTCCGCCAGCACCCGGAGCCTGGCGGTAGTTCTACGCATGTCCCGTGCCCACAGCTGGGCTTCACGGGACGCAGTACGCATGCTCTTGCGCCGAACTTGAGGAGCCAGTCTGGGGCCTAGGCGCAGACGCACTGAGCCTAAGCGGCCGGTGATGGCGGCAGCGGCGGCGGTGGCTGCGGCGGGTCCGGGCCCATGAGGCGACGAAGGAGGCGGGACGGCTTTTACCCAGCGCCAGACTTCCGAGACAGGGAAGCTGAGGACATGGCAGGAGTATTTGACATAGACCTGGACCAGCCAGAGGACGCGGGCTCTGAGGATGAGCTGGAGGAGGGGGTGAGGCCCGGGGTCCCGGGGGGCCCGAGGTGACAGGGCCAGGGCGGCGGCGCGGGAGCAAGGAAGCCCGGCGTGTCCTAGAGCGTGGAGACCGAGGGGGGCTCTTTGGAGGAGCTGAGGCGGCGCGCGGCCCGAGGCAGCGGGGAGCGGGCGGGGCGGACACGGCCCTAGGTGTGAGGCCTCTGCGGGGCTCGCAGGTGCAGGTCGCACCCTGAGCCCCAGACTAGCGCAGCCCCGAGCCATCTGCTGGAAGAGGGAAGGAGAAAGGGCGCGTGGTCGATTCCTCCAGCTGTTGGACTCGAGTGTGGCGGGGCGCGGTGTTGTGAGCGTGTGGGGGGGGGAGGGGGCGGGGGAGGAGGGGGCTGCGCTTGCTGGGTGTCCCGTAAGTGCAGGTGAAGCGCGGAAGGGTTTCCCTTCGAGTGTAAGATTTCAAGTATTACAACTGCAGACCTCCCACAACCACCTCTCTTCTCGGCCTGTCGCTTCTCTCCTAGGAAGCGCTCAGCTGTTAGAAGTGACAGCTGAAAACTTCTGTCGGGAGTAGCACTGCCGCTGCTGTTACAGCCACCAGGAGTTTTATTTCGGGAGCAAGGGGGCTCTGCTGCATCTTCCAGGGTTTGTTTGTTTGCTTTTTTTTTTTTTAACCCCTCCCTCCGTGTGACTTTTTAAAATAAGCGTTTATAAGGACACACGGCATCTGTAACTTTTCCCCAAGTTGAAGATGTCTATATTTTTTCAGAATAATTAATGTAATTTTGGGGTGGAGAAAAACCAGTGTTGACAGCTGTGATTTGACTTGCCAGAAATAAATTGCTTGAACAGAGTCTTGTGAATGGTGGTGAGAGGGCTCTCCTTGCTGTAATTTAGGGTGCTAAATTTAGAATTGTATTTCCTAATGCACAGGGTGATTTTACCTTTGCTGTCTTGCTGTCTTGGGGATTTGTTATTCTTTATGGAATATCCTTCTTTGTTCAAGATAAATTTATTCAAAAAATGCATTGTACCTGGAGTTCAAAAATGGTGGTGTTGTACAAAATCACTGATTCTGGACAAAATAATAATCAGTGATAACCTCATGGTAATTTAGGTTCTAGTTTCAGTGTCTAGATGTGTGCATGGATTAATGACTGATGTCAGATGTTTGCTCTAACCGCACAGGGGCTTCCTTTCCCTTTTCTCACCCTCAGTTTTCTTCCTCTGACATGTGTCCTACCGTTGACAAAAGACTGAGGTGCTGCATAAAAAGAATTTTGAACACTTTAAGAAACCAAGTGGGCTAAAATAATACTGTTCTTTTCATAATCAAATGAGACAAAATCACACGATTTAGAAGGTCGGTATTGAGGTGTGTGCTTTTTTAAGCTGATGCTTTCATGTAAAATTTCAGTTAGCCTCTCAATTGAATGTAGTGATACAATAAAACTTTGAAACAAATACAGGATTGCTTTTCATTACATATTCTATACTCTCATTAGTTATATTGGTTCCATATGGTAGTGGCTTTGGAGCAGGGCAGGGGAGAAAACTGATTAGGAAGGTGCTTTATATCTTCATGCGTTGAACTGGTAGAATTTCCAGACTGCAGATTTATTCTTTCAAAGTACAATACTGTGTTAAGATTTCTGTTTGGCACCAGGCTTGGTGACTCACACCTATAATTTCAGCACTTTGGGAGGTGGTTGCCTGAGCCCAGGGGTTCGAGGCCAGCCTGGGCAACTTGGCAAGGCGTTGTCTCTACAATACATCAAAAAATTCGCCGGACGGGGTGGCGTGTACCTGTGCTTCCAGCTATTTGGAAGGCTGAGGTGGAAGGATCACCTGAGCCTACCAGGTCAAGGCTACAGTGACTGTGAGTGTGCCATTGCACTCCAGCCTGGGTGACAGACTGTGACTTAAAAAAAAAAAAAAAAAGATTCCTATTTGGATCTGGGACCTTGTTTTTCTTTTCACTTTCTTGTGTTTCAGGAACAGTAGGTGGTTCCAGAGATGTTGTTTTGTTGGGTTTACCCAAGTAGGATTTTGAGAATGTACGAGGTGGAGGCTGGAGAAATTGGTGGAGATGGGAAAAAGAAAGAAATGTGGTCCCAACCTTGGGGAAAGGAACTTTGGGGAAAGAACAGAGATAATTAAAGAAAATTTTGGGGAAGAGCCATCAATAAAATATATCTTACTTAACAGTACTTTTTGGAGTTGAAAATGTTTCTTTTGGCTGGGCGCGGTAACTCAAGCCTGTAATCCCAGCACTTTGGGAGGCCGAGGAGAGTGGATTGCCTGAGTCTGTGGGTTCGAGACCAGACCGGGCAACTTGGTGAGACCTTGTTTCTACAATAAATCAAAAATTAGCCGGATGTATAGCCTGTAGTTCTGGCTATTTGGAAGGCTGAGGCAGAAGGATCGCTGGAGCCCAGCAAGTTGACGCTGGGGTGGCCGTGAGTGCCACTGCACTCCAGCCTGGGCAACAGAGTGAGACTCCAACTCAAAAAAAAAAAAGAAAAAGAAAATGTTTCTTTTGAGTGTGTTATTCTAAGAGGTACCTGAAGGTGGATAGGGGAAGAATGGGATTTGGTTGGCAACCCAAGGAGATTCAGTGACATTCAGATTATTCTGAAATTTAAAAATTCTGAAAAATAGAAGTTTAGGTTCTTAGGAAGCCTTCTAATAGTTCTGTTTGTGCATTGATAAACTTTGAGTTTGTTACACAAACTTTTTTTGTTTGTTTTTTTGTTTCTTTTTTTTTTGAGTTGGAGTCTCACTCTGTCACCCATACTGGAGTGCAGTGGTATGCTCCCGACCACCACAGCCTTGACCTTCTGGGCTCCGGCGATCCTTCCGACTCAGCCTTCCAAGTAGCTGGAACTACAGGCGTGCGCTACCATGCCCGGCTAATTTTTGATTTATTGTAGAGACGAGGTCTCGCCAAGTTGCCCAGGCGGTTCTCAAACCTGCGGGCTCAGGCAATCCACTTACCTCAGCCTCCCAAAGTGCTGGGATTACAGGCTGAGTCACCAAACCCGGCTACACAAACTTTTTTAACATTGGTACATGTCAGAGTAGCCTTCTTCATTTTAGTAGGGAAATCAAGATGTGGGCCAGAGAGATGATAGCCAAGATCACATAGTGGTAGTGTCCTCTGATCACTTCAGCAAGCTTTATTGCACAGATTCCTCATTTCATTTACTAGTTTTGTTGGGGTGTGTCAAAAGTGAGTTCAAATCCCTTTGGCTATACTCATTGACTAAGTGACCTAGAGTAAATTGCTTAATCTGACACTTTCTCTGTAAAATGGAGATTACACGAAGCTAAACTTATAAAGTACAGTATTCTTAAAATATGCTGGCATATTAAGCAATTAGCTAGGTCACAGAAATATAGCTTGTCAGTGTTTCTCATTGCCAAAGGAATCAATCTTTCAAATTTATCCTCATGAATGCCTAAAGACCTCATTAATAATTTGCATTCTAACTAGAAATGCTGTATTTTTTCAACTGTCGTATCATGCTGTGTGTGTGTTTTAAAATAATTGATCCCATTTAGAGATATGTGCCTTTTTAGATACTTTACTGAGTGACTGTATATTAGTAAATATGTATATTAGCATAGCTTAATTAATTCTTCAGAGATGAAAAGATGAGGAATCTAAACTGATATATTTATGGACAAAGTTATATGTCTGCCACCTAACTGAAAAAAGATGCTGATTAAAAATCTCAGAGAAATATATTAAAGCCAATGGGGAAGAGGGATGTTTTGGGGGGAGTGTTTCTTTCTTTTTTTTGCTGGCAATGGTATCATTTGGGGCAGTGAGTTGAAACTAAGGGAAAGTTTTTCTCCAGTGAATTTTATTTTATTTTATTTTTTTGGAGTTGGAGTCTCACACTGTCTCCCAGACTGGATTGCAATGGCCACTCCTGGCCACCATAGCCTCGACTTGCTGGGCTCCGGCGATCCTTCCGCCTCAGCCTTCCAAGAAGCTGGAACTACAGACGCACACTACCACGCCCGGCTAATTTTTTTGATTTATTGTAGAGATGAGGTCTCGCCAAGTTGCAGGTGGGTCTCGAGCCCGTGGGCTCAGGCAATCCACTCACCTCGGTCTCCCAAAGCGCGGGATTACAGGCTGAGCCACCGATCCCGGGTCTCCAGTGAATTTTATTAGATTGCAAAAATATTGGAATCCTCTCTGCTTTCTGTATCATTAAGAGTAGTAGAACACTAGCCTGGCTTGTGGCTCATGCCTGTAATCCCAATACTTTGGGAGCCGAAGGTGAGAGGATTGCCTGAGCCCAGGGGTTCGAGACCAGCCTGGACAACTTGGTACGACCTCGTCTCTACAATAAATCAAGAAAAATTAGCCAGGTGTGGTGGTGCATGCCTGTAATTCCAGCTACTTGGAAGGCTGATGCAGAATTGCCTGATCCCAGCAGGTCGAGGCTGCAGTGGCTGAGAGTGTGCCACTGCACTCCAGCCTGGGCAGCAGAATGAGACTCCAACTCAAAAAAAAGAAAAGAAAAGAAAAGAAAAAGACTAGTAGAAAAGAATGCAATTTTAAAAATTCTTACTTTCTACTCTTACTAATTCAAAAATTGAGGACTACACAGGTTTTAGATTGGGACATCATATTTTTATTGAGCAAAATGTTTAAAATTTTTGAAAGCCAAAGTGCTATATAGATATTATATGCTTAAATATTTCTTATTGTGAAGAATTATAAAAAAACTTATTCTTTTTTTTTTTTGAGTTGGAGTCTCACTCTGTCGCCCAGACTGGAGTGCAGTGGACGCTCCCGGCCACCGCAGCCTCGCCTGCTGGGCTCCGGCGATCCTTCTGCCTTCAGCCGTCCAAGTAGCTGGAACTACAGGCGCGTGCTACCACGCCTGGCTAATTTTTTGATTTATTGTAGAGATGAGGTCTCGCCAAGTTGCCCAGGCGGGCTCAGGCAAAAAAATTATTCTTAATACTTAAGTTGCCTTGTAATATATACTTACCACAAAGCAACAACTATTTTTATTTATTTTTTTATAGTAGCAACTATTTTTATTTATTTTATTATTATTATTACTTTTGAGTTGGAGTCTCACTCTGTTGCCCAGACTGGAGTACAGTGGCCGCTCCCGGCCACTGCAGCCTTGCCTGCTGGGTGCTGGCGATCCTTCTGCCTCAGCCTTCCAAATAGCTGGAACTACAGGTGCACGCTACCACGCTCGGCTAATTTTTTGATTTATTGTAGAGATGAGGTCTTGACAAGTTGCCCAGGCGGGTCTCAAATCCGCGGGCTCAGGCAGTCCACTCACCTCAGCCTCCCAAAGTGCAGGATTACAGGCTGAGCCGCCGAGCCCGGCGTAGCAACTATTTTTAAATAGCCCAAGATTTTGGGCAAGGTTTACCCTTTTTCCCCAATTCTTTTGAGTTTCTGAATCTTTTAAGGAAATGTACGAACAGCACAGTAGTTGGATGATTGATTTAGTGACTATCAAGGATAATTTAACCATTGTGGGACAATTTAGTTAAATTTTTATAAAATGTGCTCTCTTTCATTGGGACTTTAAGCATATTAACTTTACTTAATATACAGTTTTTTTTTAAATTAGAAGTCTCACTCTGTTGCCCAGGCTGGAGTGCAGTGGCATGCTCATGGCCACTTCAGCCTCAACCTGCTGGGCTCAGATGATCCTTCTCCCTCAGCCTTCCAAGGCTGGAACCCTAGGTGTGCGCCACTACGCCCAGATAAATTTTAAAAATTTCTTGTTGTGACAAGGTCTTGCCAAGTGGCCCAGACTGGTCTCAAACCCCTGGACTCAGGCAGTCCTCTTGCCTCCGCCTCCCAAAGTGCTGGGATTACATGCGTGAGCCACACTGCACCCAACTGTATACATTCTTAATTTAAAACTTTGGTGGGGTGGATTCAAACAGTCTATCTCCTATAGTGCTTGAGATGAGCTCAATTCCACTTTGTCATGGTGACACACAGAAAAGGCATTGGATAGGTCAGAAAGATTAAGTCAGCAGAAAAAAATTATGAATAGAGTTTCCTGTGAAAGCATTGTCAGTATGTATTATATGATGCTAGCTTGATGCTTCTTGTGTGAAACTTTTCTAAACGTAACACTGAGCAGCAGGAAAGATTCATGGCCTCAAATGCTTCTGTTCTAGAAGGTAACGGTAGAAGTTATAGCAGTGATGCAGGTGGCAGTACAGGCCTGGCCAGCTCTGGAAATGAAACATAGCCACAGGGCATATCTTGTGAGGTATCTTCAAAGTCATGGTTCAGTGTTAACTACTCTGTGGTCTTTAATTTAAAATTAAGTAAAACTAACATTAAAGAAAAAACAATTATGTAATACTAGTTTTATCACATCTGAAAGAAGTTAGTCTTTTATCATTAAACTGAGGCCATCATAGAAGATTATATAGCGCAACAAAGACAAAAAAAACTTTAGCCATAAACATCCCCACCTCCCACACAGAAAAGAAATTGTATCCAATCCAAACAGTTATGATTGTTTGGAGGTTTTTTTGGTTTTTGTTTTTTGTTCTTTTTTTTTTGAAACAGCCCCATCTATTTGTCTCTGTCTAATCATGAAACTTACATCCTTGGTTTTACATATTATCCTGAGTTGTTCAAACCATGTACAAGTTATGACTACAAATTTATTTTTTGAACATCTGTAAGAATACAGTTTTTCTTGTATATCTTAGCTCTGTATAGGTACTTTTGAAGAAATATATTGACTTAATATCTTGAATTATTCTAAAATTTTGATACTGATTGCTTAAAGCCTTCTGCTTTCTTTCTTTTTTCTTTTTTTCTCCAAGTTGGAGTTTTAGTCTATCGCCCAGGCTGGAGTGCAGTGGCAAGCTCATGGCCACCATACCCTCAACCTGCTGATCTCAGGCGATCCTTCCACCTCAGCCTTCCAAATAGCTGGAACTACTGGCACACGGCACCACATCCAGCTAATTTTTTTGATTTATTATAGAGATGAGGTCTTGCCATGTCGCTCAGGCTGATCTTGAACCCATGGGCTCTGGCTGTCCTCTCGCCTCGGCCTTCCAAAGTGCTGGGATTACAGTCACGAGCCACTGCACCTAGCAAGGCTTCTACTTTCTTAGATATTTTCTTTGAAGTGATATTCTTTTGTGAAAAAAAATCATAATCAGACTAGATTCAAGAATGCTCATTTTATTTATTTATTAATTATTATTATTATTATTTTTTGAGTTGGAGTCTCACTCTGTTGCCCAGACCAGAGTCCAGTGGCATGCTCACAGCCACCGCAGCCACCACCTGCTGGGCTCAGGCGATCCTTCTGCCTCAGCATTCCAAGTAGCTGGAACCACAGGCATGCACCACCATGCCCAGCTAATTTTTTGATTTATTGTAGAGATGAGGTCTGGCCAAGTTGCTCAGGCTGGTCTTGAATCCCTGGTCTTAAGCAGTCCTCTCGCCTCAACCTCCCAAAGTGCTGGGATTATAGGCTTGAGCCATCACTTCCGGCCCAGCTGTTTTTTTTTTTACTTCCTTGATAGTGCCTTTTGATGTGCAAAGGTTTTAAATTTTTAGTAAATCCACCTTATAGATTTTTTTCTTTGTTTATGCTTTTGGTGATATATATATATAAGAAATTATTGCCTTCCCCAAGATCATGAAGATATACTCCCTCTTATGTTTCTTCTAAGAGTTTTATAGATTTGTTTGTTTATTTTAGAGATAGGATCTCACTATGTGATCAAGGCTGGACTGGAACTCCCAGGCTAAAGCTATCCTTCTGCCTCAGCCTTCTGGGATTGTAGCCTCACAACGTTGTGCCTGGCTCGAGTTTTATAGTTTTAGTTCTTACATGTAGGTCTTTGTTTCATTTTGAGTTAATATTTGTGTATAGTACAAAGAAACATGTAGGTATCCAATTGTTCCAGCACCATTATTTGCATTGCATATAGATATCCAATTGTTCCAGCACCATTTTTCAAAAGACTTTTCTGTTTCCTACTGAATATTTTTTGACATTTTTGTTAAAAATAAGTTGACCATAAATGTAAGAGTTTGTTTTTAGGCTCTCTATCCCATTAGTCTACATGTCTTTCCTTATGCCAGTACCACACCATCTTATTTTTTTTTTTTGAGTTGGAATCTCCCTCCATCGCCCAGGCTGGAGTGCAGTGACACACTCATGGCCACCCCAGCGTCAACCTGCTGGGCTCCAGCGATCCTTCCATCTCAGCCTTTCAAGTAGCCGGAACTATAGGCACATGCTACCATGCCCAGCTAATTTTTTATCTATTGTAGAGATGAGATCTTGCCATTTGCCCAGGCTGGTCTCAACCCACGGGCTCAAGCAGTCCACTTGCCTCAGCCTCCCAAAGTGCTGGGATTACAGGCTGAGCCACCAAGCCCAGCCCACCATCTTGATTGATGTAGCTTTGTAATATGTTTTGAAATAGGGAAGTGTCAGTCCTCTAACTTTGCTATTTTTCAAGATTGTAGGGATATTTGAGTCCCTTACATTTCTATATGAATTTTAGGATCAGTTTGTCAATATCTGCAAGAAAGGGAGCTGGAATTTTTGTAGGATTCAGTTTAATCTGTAAACCAGTCTGGTTAGCATCGCCATCCTCACAATGTTTATTCTTCTGATCCGTGAACGTGGAATGCCTTTTCATTTATTTAGATCATCTTTTTTTCAGCAGTGTTTTATAGTTTTCAGTATACAAGCATTGCACTTTTGTTAAATTTCTTTCTAAACTATTCTTATCAGTGCTATCATGAATGGAGTTGTTATCTTAATTTCATTTTAGGGTTCATTGCTAATGTATAATAGGTTAATTAAATTTTTTACCCATTTATTCTAGGGTCAGAATAAATGTTTGGCTAGCATGACTTCTAGTTGTTTGAGAATGTTGCTTAATTATTTTGCCTTTATCAGCCACATTGTAGGCTACATGTTTTGGATTAGTTGTGTGTGCCTTTTCATGTGAAGCATTATGTCTGTGTATCAGAAACACATCAGATTAGCACTTTGTGTGAATTAATTGATTTATTAAACCATGCTTATAATGTGTTGCCTTGAGTTTCACAATACACACAATTTTTTTTAAAATTTGTAAATTCTGAAGGGAAAAGCACTTGGTTTTGTTTTTAGATGATTGATGTGTAGCCACTATTTTTTAGTTGGCATGTAAAATTATAAGTGAAAGCCATGCATCTAGTGTCCCAACTACTTGGGAGGCTGAGGCAGGAGCATCATTTGAGTCCAGAAGCTCAAGGCTATACTGCCATTACATTGTAGCCTGGGAAATATAGTGAGAGCTCATCTTTATGAAAAGAAAAAAAAAGTAAGAGTGAAATTCCCATAGCATTGTTTGTGGACTTTATTTTGTTCATCACCATAGTTGACTATTGTTGAGATAAAGGGAATTCTTAAGTTGTTTTATTTTATTCTCTTTCAGTTTCGAGGTAAAACATTAAACTTTTAATATGACGTTTATGAGATTATTTCTAAAACTTTAACATATTTTTCAGGGTCAGTTAAATGAAAGCATGGACCATGGGGGAGTTGGACCATATGAACTGTAAGTTTATATGAAAAGATTTTCATTGTGCTGTCTTTCTTGCAAGTAGGTTATATCAGTTCCAGTTCATAGCTATCATATGATTCTAATAACCTGTTCTTAAATATCTAATCATATTTATCAACTTGGTTTATTGAGTTTGGCACAAAAATTTGATCAATATAATAATGTATTAGAGTTTTGAGATTGTGTATGGATTTTGAGAAAAAGATATTCATTCAAATTTGGAGTATACTGAATGTGAGTGTGAGTTCATAAGATATTTTTATTAGCTTAATATAGAAAAGCACATTTTTAACCTTTTCTTACTGAAAAATTGGGGCCAGGTATGGTGGCTCACACTTGTCTTTTTTTTTTTTTTTTTTTT